AGCCTTCGACAGTACAATGATTAATATTGTTACAAATAATGGATTACATCCAGGTTGTGAACATACTCTGAGAAACGTGTACTTGGAAGTATAATGTTTTCCAAGAAAAGAGTACGGTTATAAGAGTTTTTACAGGAGGATGTCAGTGTTATTCACTCATTAAATGTTATTGTCTAGGATTATATTAGTGAGGAGATTACAATATTTTGGTACAAAATAGGTGTTTTAGCTTCATCTGAGAACCTGCTGTCATTGCTTACTTACTGCTAGATAAGCACTCATTGTTCTCATTATGCAACTTGTAGGAATGTTCTTTTTCAAAGAAAGGATGTCTAACACACATATTCTGTGATGGATGCCTTCCAGATGTCATATGTAAAAATAATTTTCTTCTTGTGCTTTCTGCTTTACCATGGTAGCCTAGTGAATATATTTTTAGAAAATTGCTTCTCCTTGGATGACATTTACAGTAATTTTGATTTAATGCTATTTGTCAAACTTGCTATGTGGAAGAAATATACATTCATTAATGTATTTCTTGAATAATTTAAGGGAAGCCAAATGCTGAATGGAAGTCAGATTTGTATAATATAGCAGTAGGAAACACCATCGGAATGTTCTCTCCTGAACAGAAGTGGATTTATGAAGCCTTTGGTGACAAAAGCTTTTTGAGGACAGCAACATTAGTCAGTGACTAGATTCTTTAAGGCATTGGTATCTATGGGTCCTTATGCTAATTGGAATGATATGTGAAATATCTACTGCATAATAATGCGTAGCTTATTACAGTGCAGAAATTTTTTTGTGCTCAATATCTCCATTTTTTAAAGTTGAAAACCATCTGTTGATGAGTGCAAAGACTCCATATCATTTTAATAAACTATTTCTGTATTGTCTGTTGCCCTTGTCCCCAGGACAAATAATATCTGGGGAGAGGTAATTGAACTGGGAAAGAGGAAAGAGTTATATTTTCCCAGTTCATTTTCCATGACCTGACAGCTCCTCTTTTTTAGAACTCTGAAGAAATCTTATTAACTGTCTTGTCCTCTTCCTGGAAAGCTGTATTGATACACTGAGACAGCCCATTGAGAATTCATGAAACTCTCCTGTGTGTGCATGAGACAAGTACTTATTTTGCTCAAGTTCTCGACATTTGGACGTAAATTTGTGCAGCAGTCACACCTACCCTTCCAAAACAAAGTTAAGAGGACACAGCAAAAAGGGAAAGTTGGGCTGATTGATGAAAAACATGCAAACATTCACAGCTTTTATTATGTTAATAAAAGTCCATGTGGTAAGACAGCAGTTGTTATGCCCATAGCAAAAAACTGACTTTTGCAAATATGCAACTTAGTATGAACAAACCTTGTCCCCAAAAATCTCATGATACTTTTGCCTTAGGGTCACCACAAAGAAGTCATGCAGCAACAATTTAAATATATATTTATTTGAAGTGGAATATCCTATTCATGAATCATATAAGCCTTTGTTTGGTACTTTGAATCTGTTTGTAAGATTGCCAGAGTGAAAACTGGACAAAGTTCCTGATGCTTGAAGCAGAGGTAGACAAAGTGCAGCCTGTGGTCCTTTTGTACCGCTCACTCAGGCTCATTTTGTAGCTCCCAGGCTACCCAGGGATCAAACAGTATTTTATTTTTTGATCCAAAATGCCCCACATTGATATGAAGGGCATTTCCAACTGGGAGTATGATATATCAACCTCTCCCAGGTCCCTACAAAGATAAAAAACCTATTTTGCATTTTAAAATAAACACTCCATTTACCCCCCCCCCCAAATGATTCATTATGCCTGCTCTGTTTTGCCAAATTGACTTCTTTTCATTTTTCATTTTAAAGTTTGTTTTAAAGATGGCCGTATTCTGCTTTCCATCCCCCCCCCCCAATAATTACTTTCCACCAAACTTCAAATCAAGCTTTGCAGATTCTCTGTCCCATTCCTTTTTGTCATAAGAAAGAAGAATACACAGCTATGTACTAAGAGAGATTTTGAATTGCGGTATCCCCAGAACTGTGCACCATGCTGCTTCTTGATATTTCACCTCCTCTTGAAGATGTGTGGTATATTCCTTTAATGGATTTTAGATTGCCTATCCATATCTAATTTCCCTAAAATAGGATTTGAAAATATATTTCTATTCCCTTTCATTCTCTCTCTTTCTGAGATTTGCATAAATCCTAGACTTTGAGGATTTGTTTTGCTGGTTTTCTTCACCTCTAATCACATACAGATCACATATCCAGTACTGGCTAGCATCCTGTTAGAAGTAAATGCACACTCCCTTACATCTGTGTATGTGTCTTGAAGAAGTGTCTTGGAGGTTGGCATTCCCTCCCTCAGAACCTCCTCCCATCTGAACTTACTGTCCATCCCCTGAAGCTTCAGAGAATCACCTATCCGGTCTCCATAAACTAAACAGGTGCAAAATGACTACACAGGGCTGAGATTTTTTGAGAGCTCCAGCTTGCCTTGGGGACAAAGCCAGGCAAGGAATGGAAGGGAATAAAGATGCAGATGTGGCTCCAGAGATTGTATGGGAAGTCCATGAGGGTGGCATATAGCTCTGCCTGGTGTAACCCTGCTTGCAGAACTAGTATGCTGTGCCAAGGGATACAGGATTGTGGGCTTTCTGTGCAATTTATGAAACTTTACTAATTTATTTTCTCTTTCATTAAAATAAGGCAAGAAGGGTAGTTTGGCTAGAAAGGAGAACACACAAACTAGTGACTCTTCTGTGATGGATGCATGCATCTGAATTGTTACGTGTCTACTGAATTGTTACGTTTCTATTTTATTATTAGGATTTACATTAGACTCAATATACAGCACTTAATTCAGTAGATCAGCTCCCACTGGGATTACCAATAGGATTTGTAACATCTAAATTTGTTGACATTACTCCTTTTTTGCTTCCAGTGTATGTGCATTTGTTATATGTTTTTGTTTTGCATTTCTACAAAATGATTACAATTCTTCTACCATATATTTCAGTGTTCTTTTATGTAAGAGCCAAAACGTGTTAGACTGTGGATACATGCACTTCATTATCTGTCCCCCATTGACTGAATACACTCAGTATACACATTTTTCACTCTTTAAAAATGTGTGTCTATATAATATATGTGTATATGTGTGTGCAATTGTATGCAGGTGCATTTTACGTTTGATATATTTTAGTATGCCATAGTAACTGTTGCAGAATTCTTACTCAAATATAAATGTTCAGTTGCTTTTCTCTGAAACTATGTATCTACTAAGTACATTCTAAATATGTCTCTGCTAAACTGTTTGAAGCCAACATAACGAAATCAGCTATATATTTCATTCGAAAGCATATACATTTCCCATATTCAGTTGTTTGTAGGCCAGAACACTGATCCAAGGCTGGCATGTATTTGGATATATGAGAATCTTTTTTTTTTTTTGGCAAAATCAAAGGCCATTCTGCCAGGAAAGTTGCCCTTCTTAGGTAATCAGACCTGCCAGGTTTCAGCGAGTTTTATGAAAGAAATTGTATTAATGTTTGGGGATTTCCAAAAATAAACACACTCTAAGGTGTGTCTTGTTTTGCTTTCTAGGCAATTACTTTGAAAATTCCACAAATGTTGTTTTGACTAAGAATCCTGAACAATATCAAAAGGATTAGTGGGATAATTTTTTGTGGAAAGAGGATACTCAAATCCACAGAGAGTGATTGTTTTCCCACATGTCTGTCAATGGATGTTGGAAAGCAATTTATTTGAAAATAAACACATGTGACTGTGGAATTCATAGGTGATAAATTTGCTAAATTTTATGTGGATAGTAGCAAGAGCAGAAATGGTCTAGGGTTTGAAAGGACATTTTCAGTTACTCTGAACTGTTCTCAGGTCTCCCTTGGAACACCCAACAGTGACCTGAAGTCACTTTTGCTTACTTTTAGATGGGGCTTCTTCTGTCTGAAAGTTGGAAGTGAAAGAGCAATTAGGGGTCAAAATAGTCCTCTGGAGTAGGAAAATCAATTTTCTGGGTAGAGTTTGAGATTAGGAAAACCATGTGAGAGTAATGGGGAATGAAAATTAGATTTTGTAAAAGTCTGTTCAGCTGGCACCAGATTTTGCATAGGGCAGGTGATGAATGTAGAGCAAATAGTGGCAGAATAACATGAGCTTCAGCAGATTCCATAGAAAACATGGAAACATTTTTAAGATTTCTTTTTCTGCAGAAAAATCTACTAATGCATACTAAGCACCAGAAAAGCCCTATGACACATTTCTGTAATATTTTTCCTCAAAAACACTGGAGTTGCAGAGTTCTTATAAAATAATTTATTCAGATGAATATAGTTTATCAATATAATTTACTACAAAGCTACATCCCTTCACTTCCCATTTCCTAGTCCTCCACCCATGTTTTCTTTTTCTAGCGAGCCCTTGGGGGGGGGGGATATATCATTTTTGTAGCTATGATATCTCACCTCTGTGTCCTAATGAAGCTATGCAGACTTCAGAAGTCTAGAGTTTGGAAGGGGCTGTTGCAGAGAAGCTGTGATTTGATTCAGATCTCTCAAGCATTATCCTGAATCACCTCAATTGGTTTTAGTATTGTTTTTATCCTTCAAAGTGATGTTATTTTGTATTGAATTGACCCTTGAAAATTGTCATATGCATAATATTCTACACTGCAGATGTAATTGTTCTTATATTGGAGATTCAGTATAATCAATCTGAATTTTATCCCCAGCTTTATGAAAATTGCATAATTTGATAATTAATTTTATGGCGGACTGCAAATGAAAACAGTTCACTAAACTACAGTGCTAAGGTTTAAAAAAATGGAAATAAATAAATAAATAAATATTAGACTTTTCACTGCAACACAAATATACTCTGTCTTCTGATGTTAAAGTTGCTATCATATCTCCAATAAAATTATTATCAGGCAAAAAGTCACAGTCATATACCAAGTTAGGCATGATCCTATCAAATTGTTTCTCTTTCAGTGAAAAAGAAAAGAAATTGGCATAAACATGACACAGGTCCAACTACAGAAGTCAAACCTGTCCAAAATGGTAGTCAGGTCTTCATCAAGGAACTCCGAAGTCGAACATTCCCAAGGTGAGTTGCTCAGTTCTGTTACTGTTTGTGGGCATGTTGTTAGGGCATCATGTAAAGTTGGGAAAAGTGCATAGAAAGTACTATTTTTTCAACCAGGAGGTTTTTGTTCATCTAGATTTATGTAGCCAATAATGAGACATTAGGTTAATAGCTCTCAGTCTCTATGTGATTTCCCAGAGACACATTCCGGAGTTTACTACCCATGACGAATTTTACATTCAGTTGTTGACAAATTTGGGACAGTATTTTCTTTTCTGCAATAAACAACATTACAATTGGTTTCTTTGTGTTATTAAAAAACTTTTACCCTGAAATCAGTTTGGCCATTTTTTAAAATAATACAATGCTTAATGTAATCGTTGAACAATGCCAAATCCCCATAGCCAAAATCCTTTTATAATTAACACAATATAATTATCTAGCAATCTATGCCAACAGCTAAGATATTTCTATATTGTTTATTTACAGGGAAGTACTATTCAATAAAGGTTCCTCACAACTTTAATTAGAATTTTTAGTCTTGTAGTTTTTGCCTTTAATTGGCCTATATTCAATGTGATGTACACTACTGAACCAAAATAGGCCAATTTTGTTACAGAGAAGAAACAAGTTCGTTGCAATGAACAGGAGCTAATTAAGGTCCCGTTAGGATGCTCTTCTCCATTAAAACTGAGGCCCCTTCCACACAGCTGAATGAAATCCCACATTTTCTGCTTTGAACTGGAATATATGGCAGTGTGGACTCAGACAATCCAGTTCAAAGCAGATATTGTGGGATTTTCTGCCTTGATATTTTGGGTTATATGGCTGTGTGGTTAAGGACCCTGAGGCCCAACCAGACAGTATCCTTATTCCAGGAACTTCCGCAGCAAACAGAAGGGTGGGCAGATGCTGTTCCCTCAAAATGCAGGAGGAAGCTCTACAAACAGCAAAAAACCACGAGATTTTCAGGTGCGGGAATATCCCAGTTCTGAGCCAAAAATTTGCATCTTTGAATGTCTATATGTCATTGCAATTGGAAATCATGAGATTGTTTATCTTGGTTTGTTCCCTGGTTTTAGATGTCTGTTCCTGATTGGTCAGGTCCTAGAAAGAAGGTGTCAGTTGAGTAGAACATGAAAACTTTTTTGTGTACCAGAAGCTTCATGAAACATGTGAAGGGCACATTTTCTTTGGCCAGGACAAATTTGTGGCCCCCTAGTCAATGCTGTATATTTTTCCACAACAAGAGCAATCAGGAACAGACACGTATAACCCAGGAACAACACCCTGTCTGCACAGATGGCTCTGCAACTTCTATAACTCAGGAACAGAACTTATACAATGATTTCCATCTTCAGATGTTCACATCTTACGTTGTTGTTGTTGTTTTTCTTAAAAAACCTGTTGAAATTTCTGGCAGAAGTCCCATGGTGGTCATCTTGGGAGCCTCTAAATAGCACAATAAAGCAAGTGTGGATGACAAAAGCAGAAATCCCGGGGCCAACAGGTCTGTATTGGACCTCTTCTGAAGTGCCAGGATATTTTGCCCCTGACTAAAACACATGATTTAGTGCTGTATGAGTTGAAATAGAAGCAAAACAAAAGAAAGGAAGAAGTCACAAATAGGAAGTTTCTTATTAAAAACACAGTAGTTCCAAAAAGTCTCAGTCAGTCTGCCTTACAAATCCACAATGGACTGACTAATGCTTCAGTTGCATTATAAGTGAAACTCTACTATGAGTTCAGAAGCACCACAGAGCTATCTGCAGTAGCTTTTCATCTAGAAATCATATGGGTTTGTGGTGCCTAACTGCTCATTTTCCTGTATAAAACAGCCTTGGTAACATGATAAGCCCATTGATTTCACTATAGAAGAACTGAGGCACAGAGAGATCAGAAGTCATTACCTCTGCTCTTTGACAAAGTAGTCAGCAAATGGAAGCAAACTCCCTTCCTTTTCTGATTGAAACCTGTTTTCAGACCAGTAAAAACCTTGTTCACATATTCACATGAAGACCTGTGGGGCTGTGCTACCCTTGCAGTCTATTTCACCCTAACTCCAGTGAAGGGTCATCTGCAGGAAGAAATCCTTTATGCCTTGACACATTCAGTACAGTCTGGGACCCTGAATTTGTGGAAGCCTAAGTGTAGATAAATCCAGTCACAATGCATGAATCATCATACCATCATTGGCTATCACTCGTGGCTGAGTATGATTGCCTTCTGAGTGTCAGGCCTTGGCAGTGGGTCCCTAGGTGAATGTAGAGACCTATTCTGGATCCACATGTACTTTTGCATTAAGGACATCAATTTCCAGATGGAAGGTGGTCCCGACAAGAGTTGGCTTGAATATTCATCCATGAATATCTTGGTATGGGTTAGTGTCGTACAATTCCACAACTGTTTCAGTTATTCATTGAGCCTTTATCTAATAGAGAGAAAGGTCTAAAATGTTTTGGGCCGAGTAAAATTCATAGCAAAACAGCTTTAAACTTAAAAAAATGAATAATGTGGTTCCTCAATGTCTTTGCTTGTTGATTATTCAGCATTGTTAGGCTGAAAAATCTGCACTCAAGAGGCTGTTGGTCCACCTTTGGAAGAAAGCTAGGATTATTCAATGTCAGACCTATTATTCCCACTGTCAGACCTATTATTGTAAGTTCTAATTGCAAATAGATTGTTGTTTAAATAGCAGAGAACCTTTTAATAACCCACTGGTTTTAGAGTGAGATTTAATATAGAGGATGTTTTCCTACTTCCGCATCTGTTTCTGAAACTTATTTTTCTCGGTTGTCCATGGAAGCCATTGGTACCCTCCTACTGAGATGTAGTTCAAAAGAAGCACAGAAGAGGGCAGCCGTGCATTATCTGAAAGAGATTTGATGCCCTTTAAATGCCTACATTAAGGGGAGAAATCACCTTAGGAAGAGAGTGTCCTTTGTGATGATCTTTTTTTTGAAAGAGACATCAAATTATATAACTCAAAACTCTTGGTTACTAAGTAACATGCCTGCTTAGAAGTCTGTGTGTCATAGTTGTCTGAATATCTTGCTTTCCATGATGTTCTTCAGATATACAGATGACAAAAAAAAATCCCATGTTGGTTTAATCGGATTGCCACAATTTTCCTTTCATGCCACTTCAGGTCAACACACTATTATATCTTAACACATTTCTAAACATCCAGTGAGTAGCTTGTATATGCTTATAGGCTTTTAAATGGCACATTTGAAGATGTTTTGGCCATCTGTACCGATTTGGTTGTGATTAACACACTCACAACACATAAGTGTTAAAGCCTGTTGAACCATCAGTATAACATACTCACAGAACTCTTTACATGAAACATACTAGTTCCTAACTCTGTAGATACCCCCTGCCCAATTATTTTGGAAATGTATTCTCTAAGGAAAAAATGTCTTTTTTTTCAGTACAATTATGAGGGGTAAATTTATATCAGAGTGTTTTGCTCAAGAATCTTTCCACCCAGAGCAACCCCATATATGTTTCTAGCCCTAGTGTTTTGCGGTTTGATACATGGCTTTTGCCTGCAAATACATGGGAAAAGCACTTCAGTTTTCCAAAGTTATCAAAGTCAGCATATTTCCCATGGGAAAAGAAAAAGTCAATTCATGAATAGGGCAGTTAACATTTCCTAAATAAAATAATGTACAAGATGTGTTAATGTTATGGCATTGTACTAATCACTTCTAACGATTAAACATTGATTAAATTGTGAAGTAATTAGTGTGCCTTTCTAGATTAATGGATACAACTTTAATGACATGGAAACACAATTTAATCTAATAAACTTTAAATGAAGAGAAAGCACTAAATGGACAATAAAATTATGACCTTTTTACTGTTTTCTGAATGTAATATACTAGATAATTACATTCATTAGAATATGGAAATTATATCATATGGTATATTAACTAATTTTCCATTATTTGTTTCTCATTGTACTGATCTGGAGAAACTGAGCCTATGTGCTATAGAAATCAATGGACAGTTTAGTGAATTTAACGTATCATATGGATCTATCTCAGTCTTAAGCAAGACTAACATTGGACTCTAGATCTCAAATGCCATACACAATTATATAGAGAGAAACAGATAAGTGGAATCTACTTACTATGATTATTACTACTTTCCTAAGCTTTCAGAAGCTTATCTATTCAGTTGATGAATTCAAGGCAATAAGACTTCCAGTCCTTTGTATATGGGTCCCTCAGAAACTCAGTCCATGATGTACTGCTGCACTACTTTTTCTATTTACCTTGAACAACTGGTGGAAATAGCAGCAGCTTCTTTGTAAGGCCACTGTTATTCCCTGGTACCTAAGGGTGGATGTACACTCTAGCATTAATGTATCTTGACACCACTTCAGCTGCCATGACTCAATGTTATAGAATCAATGGAGTTGTCATTTTTAAAGATATTTGGACTTCTCTGCCAAAGAGAGTGGGTACCTCACCAAACTACAACTCCCATGATTCCTTAGCATCAAGACATGCATTTATTTCACAGTGTAGTTGCACCCCAGAACATTTATGTGGCTATTTCTCTCAAGGATCCTATGATACATAATTTTCAGGCTTCCTGAATATTTGATGGGGATGTCAGACAGCTTGCAAACTGTGTATTTCACATGACATCTTGTACCTGTAGAACAGCTACAGCATGGCATGCTTTTGAAAGCAACCTGACAACCAACATTGCTCCTGAGTGTTCAGAAATTCCATGAAACTATATGTTTCAATGTTCTTTGCTGATTTGCATGAGCTCAGAGGTTCATTTGACTTTGTGAGTTAAAGAACGGATTTCTTGAGGAAATAATGACTGGCTCATGACATTCCAAGCATTAGGAAGTACTCAAAAGCACTGGACTCTGTTGTCTTTACTAGATATCTACAGTGAGTCCACATGTAGTAACAATCAAGTTCATTGTTTTGAAGTCCCTTATGATCTTCTTGGTGTGTGATTAAGTAAAGCAAGGAATCCAACAGATCCTATGTTAACTTAATGTGGGGAACAGAACAATGATCTACATGCTATTTTTATCAGTCACAAAGCAAAAGAAACGATTACCTTTTAGAGAAACAATTGTGTAGCTGACAACTTGAAATGTGTTTTGAATGTTTAGTGCTGAAGATGTGGTAATAAAATTGACTGGAAACCAGCTAACAGTTGAGTACATGGAAGAAAATGGATTCACAGAACCTATTCTTGTTCCGAAGAAGGACGGTTTGGGCATATCAGTTCCTGCACCAACGTTTTATGTCAGTGATGTTGAAAACTATGTCGGTACGTATCAACTGTGCTTTTGCTTCTGCAATAAACATACTTAGCTGATAGCCTATCAACCTGAGCCCATGGCAAGGTATATATGGAAATGAAAGACTAATTGTTTACCAGCATGATTAATCTAGTGTCTTCCAGGTCTGGTGAATTATATCACCCTAAGTCCTAGTCTCCATGTAGCACTGGCAGGGATCATTCCCTTTAGATGGAGGTATTGGCTACATTAGGAGAATGATGATTAAAGGCTCCATGTCAGATGGATGATGAATTGACTCCAGGGCATAGTTTAAATTTCAAGGAGCTATCCATGGTATTGAATCTATCAAACAAATAGTTTCAGATCACTCCTTAAAAGTTTGGACTAAAATCCAGAGAGGATGCATCACCCAATGGGCAGGGAAGCCATCAGATATCATTGTATTAGGGGAAAGCTTAAGAAGTTAGTTCAATGGGCTCTGGTAATAGTCATGCTTGCTGGGGGATTCTGACAACTACAATCTAAAAAGGTAACTTTCCAAAGCTTTCCTTGCTTGGAAACAGTCTTCACTGCTATTTTTTTCTGTCACTTTTTCCAACTAGAGTCATTCCTTGTTTCTTAGGTTCATCCTATCCTTTCTGCATATTATCAATTTGGAATTGATTCATTCTTAAAATGTTACATTTGTATTTAATTCTACTTATATTGTATTTGAATATATTTGGGACATGATGATTTCAAGATTCCATTGCTCAACAACTGTATATCATGAAGATGTATATCTTAAAATGGCATCAGCAACATTCAACTCCATTCCCACCCTTTCAAAATAATCTTATAGAAGTTCTCAACCTCCTCATTCCTAGGGGAAGTGTTGTGCTTGTTCTGTTATGGTTTTTTGTTTGTCCATCTGTTGCCCTTCACAGATTTTATTGCCTGAGCTGGGCACTCCATAACATCTGCTGGCTCCTTCTCTGCCTTAGAGCTGAATTCATTGCACCCAGCTCAAGCAGTGCTCTAATTGAGAGCAAAAAAGCAGAACAGACTGGCAATCTGACCTACACTGCCATTGAAGGTGGCATTTTGTCGTGTCTGTATGTGTTGTACCTTTTGGGACAGCCCCAACATTCGGTACACAATGTCAGAACATGACTTATTATTTTAATACGATCAGAAAAAGGAAAAATAGGATTTGTGGATTATACATGACAGGCAGGATGTTACAGCCTTGGCATCTTCCAATGGAATTCTGATTTTCCCAACAAAATTGCAGCTTCCCCTGCCAAGGTTACTCTGCCCTTCTTATATTCTGCCTACATTTATACCTCATAAATGGCACAGAGGGTTCTACACTGAGATGAAATTGGCTTTATCCAGTCACCTCTTTTTTCTGTGGAAGTGAACGGATACAATTTAAAAAGCGGATACTGGAATCTATGGGATGATGATGATGATGATGATGGTTATTATTATTAGTATTTGAAACACAACAAGATGAGTCCACAGCAGACATGTTGTTATTATTATTGTTGTTGTTATTATTGTTATTGTTGTTATTATTAATAATATATGTATTTATACCCTGCTTTACCTCCCCCAAAGGGGACTCAAAGGGGCTTAACACAAAAGCATCAGCATGATGGAGTATCTCCACCTATATTTATGTTTCTTTGAGTGTTTTGAAGGCAGATGATGTGATTTCAGTGCTTTTCAAAATAAGGCAAGGTATTTTGAAAAGGGAGAAAAATATAGCTAAGTAATAGTGAGGAAATGGACTAATAATACTCTTTCCTTCTAAACATTAATTATTTTTCCAATTCAGATAATTTCAACCTTTTCAATGGCATTTGATTAGTAAAATTCCACCAAAGCATGGCTGAGCAGCTAAATCTATCTTGTCCAGAACACAAACAGATTTTGTTTTTACGATCATTGTCTTCTCAGTTCTTCAGACTATATTATTATTTTCTAAAGGGTACTTCCCATCTGCTGCAAAATAAAATTGGTGGCAAGAAAAGCTAAATATTGCTTAGGGAAACTCCTTTCACAAGAGCAACAGCAACCGAACTGTTATTTGCTCTCAAGCTGACTTCAGCTTATAGCAGTTCTGTGAATGAGAGACCTCCAAGATCCCTGATCATCAGGTCCTGTAGACTCAGGCATATGGCCTCCTTGATTGAATCAATCCACCATGAATGCCTTCTTGTTTTTTTCTGCCTTCCACTTTATCAAGCATGATTGTCTTCTCCAGTGAATCAAGTCTCATGATATGTCCAAAGTATAATATTCTCAGTTTAGACACATTTATTATGAGTAAGAGTTCAGGCTTTATTTGATCTAAGACCCATTCATTTCTCTTTTGAGCAGTACACAATATCCATAGAATTATTTTCCATAACTACATTTCAAATAAGTTGATTTTTTCCCCTGTTGCTCCAGTCTTTTAAATGCATTACTATCACCTGGATCATCATAACTTTGGTGTTTAATGATATATATTGATCCTTAAGGATCTTGACTCATTGCTTCATGGCTGCCCTTCCAGGTCTTAGCCATATTCTGATTTCTCAACTACTGTCTCCATTTTGCTTTGACTAATTCAGAGTATGGGAAATCTTTAAAAGCATAGAATATTTATATAAGATTGATCATGTTTCAGGCACTGCTATTACCTGTTATTTCATGTCAAAGACGCCTTTGCTTCGTTGGAAATGGAAAGCCGTTTTTGGGGGGGGCGGCGGCTTTGATCTCCATGTAAATAGGGTACGTATAACAATGGGGAAAGAGGTGATTGCCCACCTTTAAAGCCTCCTATCATGTTTACAATGGAAATGGTATGCTTTATTTTAAGGAATATGTGGGAAAGAGATTCTGATTTCATTCATAAACAACAAATGTAGCAAATTATTGATTTACTTACTTTATATGCTGCTATTGTCGCAAGATGGCTTCTGAAAACAATGTGCACTGTGTTTGTTTGAGCCTTATCTCATCCCATAACTTCTTTGAGATTACTGGTTTTTTAAAAATGTTTTTCTTCTCTTTTTTTCAGGACCAGAAAGGAGTGTTGATGTCACAGATGTCACCAAGCAGAAAGACTGCAAGATGAAGCTAAAGGAATTTGTTGATTACTATTACAGCACTAACAGGAAACGAGTCCTCAATGTAATTAACTTGGAATTTTCAGATACAAGGTAAGACAATAGGGAAAAAAACATGTGGATTCGGATATGTTAGTACATTCCAGTCTGAGCAGATATAATAGCACACTAACTATTAATTGACTTATTTATTACCGTCCATGTGTATAATCAAAAGTACGTTTTGATTGTACATATTTTCTCTTTAAGAAAAGACTATGTATTCAATGGAACCACTTTTCAGGAAAACCAAATGTATTGCCTCAAAAGAGACAGTCGACAATTTGCGGCATAGTAGACCTCTTTATTAGTTTATGATGCAATTCCCACAACCATATAACGATGCATGGATAGTATGTGAGCCCTAAATATCGTACTCCATCCATGGGTCTGAGGGAGTAGACTGTGATGTAGGAGAGTCCATTCTAAAATAAATACATCTCAAAAGTGTCACAAAATGCTTCCTTTTCTTTCTTCCTCTCTTCTTTTTCAAATGGAATTTAGAAAAGTTACAAGGTGTCACCAGTTTGAAGAACCCTTTTCTGCAACAAATATAAGATTATTTTTTGTTTCAGTTGCACAATGAAAATCCTATGAAATGTATGGGGTCACCAAACATTGAAAGGTGACTTGAAGCACATACCCACACATACACTGAAAAACAATTACTTGGAGATAAATTATTTCATTTCAACTTTAATTGGCTGAAATTTTGTTCTAAAGATGACACTAGTGGGAGAAGTGATTTGCTGAACCATACAATTTAAACTTCTTTTTTTCTTGTGGAATTCTTAGGTAATCTACACACAAATGAAACAATTATTATTACAGAGAAGGAGGAAGCTCTTTTTTAAACAGCGAAACCAATATGCTCTGGTACCAATAAAATAAAAAATGCTTGTTTTAGAGAATGATTCCATCTTATTGGATAAGAGAAAGAAGTGATCATTAATGCAGACTGCAAAAAGAAAGAAGGATAATTGCAAGATCATTTCTTTTGTAGTATCCATAGCTCTCTAAGATGTATTTATTGTTTTAATAATCTAACCCATTTCTTGTGCACAAAAGGATCAAAAGCAATTTCAAAGCACCGTGATTATAGGTTTATTTCAATAGGTACTTTATGGTCTATTTTCTACTGGGGAAGCAATAATGGCAGGAAGCATTTTATTCTTAAGAGCTCTGGAGCTATCCTCATATGCTGCTCATTTAATCATCAGCTACTAAATAATGGCTTTTTAAACAAAGAACATGACACCGTAACCAGGCTCCAAAGCTCTGCCATGACACGGAACATAACTGCTGTGGGCATTCATAAGGGACCATTTTAGACTTCTCATCTCATGCAAAGTGTAATCTCTTAATCTTTTAAATGTCTATGTTCTGATCCTAGTGGTTTTGATGACTGAAATATCTCACCCCTTATGCTAGCTTTAGGGTACATGGCAAATTAGATCAAGAGGAGCATATCACTTATAGCCATAGATTCAACTCTGAATCACTTTGCCACTAAAGTGAGACTGTGTCATACCACCAGCTGCCCTGCTAATTCTTATCTGATCTTGGAAACTAAGCAGTTTATTACTCATAGACAGGATATCACTAGTTAAAGGCAAGGGTCTCCAGACAGGCCTGGAAAAGAATCCTGCCTGAAACCCTGGAGAGGCATTATTGGCAATATTGGACTAGATATCAGTATTCTTGAAATAGACGTGGTCCCCCCACAACTATCGCTTAGACTGTGGGGTTGAGGGTCCTTGCCACTTGTCATCTAATTCTGGATTCTAGATGGGGTCCCATTATCAATTTCTATCCTTCTAAATATCCAGCCTGAGTTAACGTCAACATTCCTCTTAAATATTCTTACATCTTGCAATTTCAGGATATTTACTATGAAAATAGAGCAGACTCTTTTAGTATTCCTTTAAGCTATTTATTATAAACATTCATAGATATAGATACAGATACTGCCCTTAGGAAGAGACTCAAACAATCTGAGTCCTTAAGCTTCATTCCATTGAATTCAATGACATCAAAGGCAACATATTCAATTATTATTATATTTTGTGGCTATCAAGTTGTTACATATTCATCAGGGCTGTCACAGAGACTGAACCTTTATCCCTCTGTTCAGCTCTTTAATAGGTTTGGTAACTTTTAAACTATTTAGTGTAATCTTCTTTTTTTCTTCATTAGCATCACGTTCTTCACACTTTCCATAGTGTCTGCTATGGAAAGTTCTTCACACTTTCCATAGTGTTTGCAGACAATCTCCATAGGCCTTTACATATACATGGACAGATTTCTGTCAGTTTTATCATCCTTAATTATCTTAATAAAATAACTTGCTCTATAATCCATTCAGGTATACATTCTCATGAGAAATTTCTATGAGAAATTTCCAACAGACTTATGTCTGACACAGGTATCTAAGGGTCAAGTCTACATATTAAATCTTAACAGCATTCATTACAGCATAAGTAAATCTAACCTTAATATGACTTTAGCTGTACCAGTATTAATCAACATTTTGAGCAGTTTATTGCTGTCTATAAATATAGTGTCTTCTGTGTTGGAGTTATGTGAAAAGCAGTCTGATAAGAGCTTATTTTCAGTTTCTTTTTATTTTCTTGTTGTGCCCATTCAATTAGTTATCACACCAAACAAAACAACCTACGACTGAGATGAACACTAGCTATCCAGCAGAAAAAGATATTTCAGACAGGGTAGTTGTCTTTATTAGTGCAACTAGCATATGTGTTCTGGTTTTTCTGCTTTTCAAAGCTACTGTTGTACCTCCTTTGTGAGTACAGATAGTTCAAATGATTCAAATACACAGGTATTTTCATTATCTTGTTTATATTCCAGAACCTTTGGTATTCTTTCCAGGCTTTCATGTACTATAGTCAGTTTTCTGCTGACACACACACACACACACACACACACACACACACACCTAATTGTCTGCAATAAACCTTATTAAACATCATACCCTCTATATGTGATATTTGGGTGAATTCTACACTTTTTAAAGTCATATGAGCATGGCACAGAGTTGAGACCTGAATAATCTGGCCGGTCATATCTGCTTCAGTATAGGCAGCTTCCAGTGTGTTACCTGATAATATCCCATTCTCTGAGGTCAGTGGATCTATACCTTCCTTGGATTCTCACCCACAATAGCTGCTATGATCTATCGATGTTTAAGGAGGAGTGGAACATTCCTTTGAGTATGGAGGTTGCTGTTGTTCTTCTTGTTGGCGATGGTGATATTTATTTGTATTCCCAAAATTGAAACTCGAAGCCATTCAGAATTTGAAAGAACAGTACAATTAAAAACTCAGAAAAAATGGGCATTAAAACAGAATTAAACTGTTCACAGCATGAAAACACACTTTCAAGTTAAAAGAATGGAATGCAATTTTAAAAAGACATTGAGCTATTACAGTCAGTTCAGTTTAAATTAATACAACATTCCCCTTGTTGCTAGAGTGTCCCTTCAAGTCAATTTTAAGACTAACCTATCACAAGATTTCCTGATAAGAGTTGTTTTGAAGAGGTTTGCCATTGCCTTCCTCTGAGGCTGAGAGAAGGTCACCCAGTGGATTTAATGGCTGAGCAAAGATTCAGACCTTACTCCTACAGTCGTAGTCCAACACTCAAACAACTACACCATCCTGTTTCCTGTTGGAATGAAACGTTTTTTAATATGCCAAGTGAAAGACACCAAGTTCCAGAGCACAGGGATAGCTATACAGGGAGAAATGGTCTGCCAGATATCCTGGATCTGGGCCATATAAGGCTTTATAGAGCATGATTGTTGATTATGCCCTATAAAGGAGAGAATGCTTCTAGAATATGACCGTATAGCCCGAAAAACCTACAACAACTTTGAATTGTGTCCAGAATTAAACTGGCTGCCGCAGAGTTTGTTTTAATAGTATACCTTCTATAACCTGACCAAGATAAGTCTGGCTACTGTTCTTTGGACCAACCGAAGCTTCTGAACAATCTTCAAAAGTATGTCAAAATAGAGCATATTATAGTAGTCCAAACAGGTTGTAATTACTCATGGTGAGATCTGATGTCTTAAGGATAAGACATCAGATCTCACCATGAGTAATTACAAGACAAGTAAGAAATTTGTTTCAAAGGACGTTCTCATCTGAATTCCAGCACGTTTTGACTATGCAAGCAATGAATGTCACAGACTGAATATAAAAAATTGAGGGAGTGCTCATAAGCCCCAAAGATGTCTTTTACAAATGCTACCTCTTTACAAGCATCATGGCACATCATTTGTCAGGTATCATGACATGTTGTAAAACTAGCCCTGGAAATTTGTCAGCCAAGACAATTTCTAACAGTATGCCTTAAATTAATTAATATATTTTACATTTTGTTTTATCTTTAAACAGAATGTCCAGTTTTGTAGAATCTCCTGACATAGTCAAGAAACTCTCTTGGGTACACAATTTTTGGCCGGATGATGCTTTGCTGGCAAAACCAAAAGTGACCAAATACTGCCTGATCTGTGTGAAGGACAGCTATACAGATTTTCACATAGACTCCGGTGGAGCCTCTGCCTGGTACCATGTCCTAAAAGTAAGATGATTCATTCCTCTTTTAACAGCAAATGTTATGGTAGCTGTTTTCACTAAGCATTCTTCCATTCCCATATCAGCTCAACTGCTAAAGTGAAAGGCTGACATTTGAAAAATACAAATAAAGAGGCTTTAGATAGTTATCTTTTACTATGCATCTTATAGAAGGTCATAATATCAAGTCAAATTTTATTTACCTCAAGTCAATGGCCATTGCAGTATTAACAACTACAGTGTATATGAGCAAACATGACTAGTATAAAATGGTGCAAATACTAGCATTGTACAAATACTGTCACTGTACAAATACTGTCATATTCGCATAATAATCAGCTGAGTGCTCTGGGTGAGAACATAATAAATGTGAGTCTCCATACAAGGAACACAATGACAAAACTCAGTGGACCATGGTTTGATACATCTATCTGCAGCTATACATCTCTGGCTCTCAAATGGGATTCTCCTCTGCAGCCTGTGAAGTACTGATGTCAGAAGCACATTTAAATGTGTGCTTGAGAAAACTTCCCAATGTTTCATCTATGTTAAATAGTATAATTAGAATAATGAGAAATCAATAAAATAGATAAACTGTGTCTAAACCAAGGGCAGAATTTTGCCCTTAGAGGCAAATTATTTTGGCCTGCAGTATTTAATAACCATTGTTTAAATGTGTTTACTGCGGGCTGAGAAAGGCAGTATACAAAAACAGCAAATAAACAAATAAATACTGTAATCTAATACAAAACTCTTGACTAGAAAGAGCAATTATGTTCAGTTTCAGATTAACAATTTGCAGTCTGCCTCTGTTGTGTTAATCTGTTTGAACAAAAGGGAACAAACCCATTGGAGCTAAATGCAGCTACAGCCAGGAAATGCATGGTTTTGGCCAAGCCTGTGTATAAACACATCTCAAACCATAGTCAAAACATTGATTGGTGCTAAAAAAAAAGGCTAAGAAATGTAGACAGCACAGTTTCTAATGTTCTTATACTCATATCAACCAGGTTTCTATGCTTTAAAAAGCGACTGGGTTGTGAACTTAGTTTTAAATTTTCAACCACTATAATAATATAATGAAATAATAAAATGTTATTTATATTCTGCCCTATCTCCCTGAGGGGACTCAGGGCAACTACAAGGATGAACTAGTGTTCCTTCATCCAAAAAAGTACAATAAGTTTAGAATACTTCTTATAATTTTTCTGACACATCGTTTTGCTGGGCTGACTACATATGAGGAGATTTTAATACTAATCTCAGATATTTGAGTAATTTAAGTTATTCTGAGGTTTGTAACATCTGAAAAAAAATCATTGGTCTTTATCATGGTTCACTGTAGGTTCTACCTACAACAGGATAGAGATCTATGTAGCTGTCTTTCAGGCACGGAAGGACATCAACAATACAATTGAAGTACAAATTATACAAGACAGGGACAATAATGCATTCTTGTTTGACCCCTTTGGTAGACGGAATTTGGTTGGTGAAATAATAATCAGCTGTGTATTGCATCTTCAACCATACGTTTTCCTGAATGTCCCTGTTTAGCTATAGCGAACTGATAGTTCGCTATAGCTGTCAGCAGCAGAAGCCACCAGATAATGTTAGATACTAAAAATTCTGAGGAAAATGAAATCTGTTTCTGGAGTTGTTTTACACTTTAACAGGGAAACAAGCCTCTTTGACACAGTTTTGGGTATGGGGTGCTAGGTAAATTATCTGGGATTTTGATAAATTCATTTACTCTTTCCCTGCCTTCAAAAAAATGTTTGATAGAAATGCATCCATTCACCTGATCACATGTTGCACACTATGAACAGTGTTTGATAGACCTGTCACTGTGTACTAAAAATAATGCTATTTCTGTAATAAGAAACTTTCCCCCCAACATTTGCTAGGTGTTTACTCCATTTTGCTACATGTCTTTAATCAAACTTTAATACTTTCTTCTGCAAATTATATACTCCTGTAACCAAATTCCAGAATTAAGAAATAAATAAATTTTATTTCTTAATACAGGCTATTTATATTTTAGCCCATTTACACTCACAGGCAAATCAATCCTGTGCTCAAAGTATAACTGGGTAGAAGTTTGGAGTGTGTTCCCACATCCCAGGAAGGAAGATGGAAATAGCTCCAGGAGCAGAGCATGAGAGTTCTTTCATGTTCCATCACTAGATCAGTCTTCTCTAGTGGGCTTTATGCCAATGGGACTGTGAATCCACTTGGGTTTTCATACTGTTTTACATCTCGTACAATGTAAAACAGTTATCCAAACTGCTGAATTTATTTGATTTAGTATCAGGTCCTATCTACACTGCCATATAATGCTGTCTGAAACTGCATTATATAGTCAGTGTAGAGTCATATAATGCAGTTTAACGGTATTGAACTACATTCTATGAAGTTACATTGAATATATAATGCAGTTTTGAATTATATTATATGGCAGTGTAGATGGGGTCCGATTCAGTTTCCATGAAATTCAGACTAAAACATAGATTCCCTGGTCCATTGGTATGTAACTTGCCAGCCTCCATTGCTGTCTTAGCCAAGTGAGGTGAAAAACTGCACTATAAGATGTCTATTTCTGTGGTTTCCTCACTGTTCAGGAATATATACAGCTATATACAGTGGACTTTGCTTGTAACCACAGTTCTAGTTTTAATATGCATGCTTATCTCTTAAACTTATAAGTTGTATTTCACAGCATAATAATTGTACATTTTAGTCCAGTTTTGATTGAAAAAAAATGGTTGTGGCGAATACGTGGTGAAAATAATTCCAAGAAAAGGAGGCAGGCATTTGGACGAGTAAAACTTCTCTCATTTGCATGCCTGCATTATGGGGCTTTTCTCAGTTGTTGGCTGAGAGAAGCTCCATAGCTCCAAGGGGACAGGTGTGCAGGCAAGTGAATGAAGGGTGTGACTATTACGTGGTGCGAGGAAATACAGTATATCTTCATGCAGTCACTGTGGCAGCAGAGTCATGTCTGAAGTGGTAGGCTATTTTATTGAATATAAATAGAGTAATTTATAGAGCCCTGAGTCCCCTCCAGGGTGAGAAGGGTAGGGTATAAATGTGGTAAATAGATAATAAATAAATAAATACATACATAAATAAAGTTGTTATACTCCTGAGGAATAGCTTATTTTGGCCAATGTTGATTATATGCAAAGTGAAAAAAGCTACTCAAATTGGGCTTCTGCTCCATGATAAGTTTCCAGGAAAGAATAAAAAAAATAAAGTGTTCCAGTGCTACAATACAATTCTGGTCCCCTTCAGATAGCTTGAGAAGCATTGGTTTGAATGACCTCCAATTTCGCTATTCTCTTACTAGTTAAATATATACACTGTATGACATCCAAGTTGGCTAACAATAATGTATAATAAAAAACACAGTCTACTAAAAATACAAGTGATAACATCAGTCATCATTTCAAAAATCATTCTGCTAAAGACACAGTTCAGCTCAACTAACCAAAGAGAGGCAGAGAAGAAACTAAATGGAAGGTAATTCTGGAGCCCCTTAAAAGATCTGCCCTCCCCAGATGTTCTTTGGAAACTGTTGGGATTGAAAGAGTTCAAAAGACGTTCAATGTGGTTTCAGCTGATTTGGATAACAAATGCACTGTTTCTGTTTCAGGGAGAAAAAATATTTTATCTCATCAAGCCAACCTCTGCAAACATTTCCCTTTATGAACGCTGGCAGTCAGCAGCCAACAATAGTGAGATGTTTTTTGCTGATCAAGTGGATAAATGTTACAAATGCACAGTGAAACAAGGACAAACACTTTTTATCCCATCAGGTAAGGATGTTGTTACAATTAACTATGTAGTGTTTATACTGAATGTACTCGTTGATTTGAATCTTGAAAGTAGAAACTGCGTGTCATTTTCAATGAAGGTGTGCACATGCATACATGATAAAGTGTGGAATTTGTAAGTGTAATAGAACTGGTATATCATGTATTATACCATATTGGTCCCTGCCTGGGAAGCTGTGGAGGCCCTGGTTCAAATATTCTGCCACAATTTCATTACAAAGCCTGAACAAAACCAATTATTATAGGTAGCTCATGGACAGGCCATTTGGAGGTTATTTATCAATCAGTCTCCTGCTGCCAGTAATGGCGCTGAACTCATTATTAAATAATTAAATAATGTAGCCAAATCTTTCTGGATATTTGAAAAACAAAACCCAGTGAACTATTTTGTTATAGTTATTTTGTGTCTTCAAGTCCACTATATCCATTGTGGGATTGTGGCGCTCGAGATTAAAACCTCTGGCCAAATATAGTATCTCTATCCTTCCTTTTTCCTCTCCCATTTTTTAAAACTACTTAGCTTGATTATGAGTTCTGGAGAAATTCACATCTTGCACTGTTAGAGGATTGTTATTTATTTTGATAAAGGGATTTTTTATATTACTATATTAGGCTAAAAAAGCCATGCCCAATTGAGACAGTTCATAGGATTTCTTAATTTCTGGATTTTTTCTATTATAGATGTGTTACACATTAAAGCAGATAAGTCTAATATGGAGCAATGCATGCAATTGCATGGGGCAAGGCTGCATAAGATAATCTGTGGTCTTTCTCCTTCTCTCATAACATGAACCTATCGTGCTTTCTCCAAATATTAGAAACTTGGATCATTCAGTGAAAGTAAATAGTAAGAGATGAAAGGAAGCACTTCCTTTCATATGATTACATTGTGGAACTCACTGTCACAACATGACAGCTGCCAACTTAAATGGCTTTCAAAGTAGATTGGAAACATTCTTGGGAGGTGGGAGCATCAATAGATAGCAGTTGGGATGGCTACATATCACCTCCAATATCAAAGGGAGTATCCCTGCATCAGTTACTTTGGAGTATACAATGGAAGATGCAGCTACATTCATGCTCTACTACCAGACTTCCAACAGGAAACTGAGTGGCCACTGTGTCAACTACACAGATTCTTAGGGTGATCCACTAGAATATTTTTCTTCTTCTTTCTCACCTATTATGTTTCACTCATAACTTCCAACTTAAGCCACCATATCTAGATTCAGAGATGTGTATCTGCTAGACTGTGCAGAAAGAAAGCTGGAGTTGGAATATATATACGGCACCGGCCCAGTGTACCTGTCCGAACGTATCTCCTTCTACATCCCGCCTAGGAATTTAAGATCTTCTGGAGGGGCCCTGCTCTCGGCCCCGCCCTTGTCACAAACGAGATTGGTGGGGACAATGGACAGGGCCTTCTCGGTGGTGGCCCCCCTGCCTGTGGAATTCACTCCCCGGGAAAATTAGATCATCATCATCCCTCCTCTCTTTCAGAAGGAAATTAAAAACATGGATATGTGACCAAGCCTTTGGGTAATCTGGCAGACTGAAAATGGACAATGACGACTAAAGCTTTGGAAACGGACTATGATAAGCAGAATGAATTTATTGATTACAGACTTGGCAAAACGATGGCCACCAGGCTGGCTTTTTATTGTATTTTTTATTGTATTAATGTCATGTTTTAATTGTTATAATTATTGTTACTATGTATTTTATTGTGTGAATTGTAGGCATCAACATATGCCGGTTGGAAGCCACCCTGAGTCCCCCTTAGGGGGTTGAGAAGGGTGGGGTAGAAGTACCCGAAATAAATAAATAAATAAATAAATAAATAAATAAATAAATAAATAAATAAATAAGAAAAGCACTTGTTGGAAGTCAAGTAACTGCCCAACTCTGGACTCATATCCCTGCTATACATCATACCATCCCCTGCCCCTTTGTTACGTTTTTATAGCACTTAAGCTTCATTGCCCATGTGCTGTAGCTTTCAATGGCTCCTCATGTTTACCAGTTTTAATCCACCTCTTAGTTATTTATGGAACTAAATTTATACTCTGATCTCTGTTGAAAAACGGAGGGGTGTGTCTGATACAATGGAGCCTTAGCGAGCTTTTTAAAAGAAAAAAAATTCCATGACTAGAAAAAAGGCATTGTGATCCCATTTGAAGAAATAAATATGCATTAACAGTAGACCATAAGCAACCAAGAGCCTGGTTGGTTTTAGTTCTGTTTTTAAAAGTGAAATGTTTTCACTTTTCTATTTCAGGATGGATTTATGCAACTTTAACTCCTGTTGACTGCCTAGCTTTTGCAGGGCATTTTCTACATAGCTTAAGTGTTGAAATGCAAATGAGGTAAGGTACTTGTAGATGCTTTTATTAGATAATAATATTTAACTGCGTCATAATGTAATTATATCATTGCTTGGATCCAGACCTAGGCATATACATACACTGGGGTTGATGGAGGAGAAAGCCTTGCTCTTCTTTCTTATGGTTCCTTCTAGCTCCCTTATAGTGCTGCCCAAATTATCAAGAAAGCCTACTGAAAGTTGTGTGGAACATGCTGACGATGGAAATGAAATCTGTGAAAACAGTGTGTGTGAAGTTAAGCAGATCTCCTTTTCCCAATCAACCCACAATAGCACATGCCCTGTTCAGCAGGATGTCATTCAAGATTAAAAACCAGGGAGTAGGATGTGGTAGGCTTGAAGGCTGCCATGTGGAATCAGTTTCAGAAAGTATGCTTTCTATCATCCTTGTTGCATGACCCTTCATCTTGGTCCTAGTTTAATATGTTGTGAAAACAACTAAGTATTTTCTCAGTTTCTAATGTAGAATTACACTGAAATACTTAGCAATTTTCTTGATTTCTGTGATCATTATAATCATGAACTCAATCTTACTATACTCCTTATGTTGAATTACCATAAATTTAGTAAAAATCAATTAACATTACAAAACAAGTAATGACATTTTCCTTTGTCGTAGACTTTGAAAAAAAATCTTATATTAATTAATAATAGTAATTTTGGCTCGCTGAATGTCTGAGTGAAATTTTCACATTAGGCATCAACTGAATAAGAATGTTCAGCTTCCATATTATGCAGTATTGTTTTTCTTAACTGATGTCAAGTTTGGTTGACTTATGATGACTCTATGAATGAGAAACCTCCAAGTCACCCTTTCATTAATAAAATATGACTTCATTCTATGCATGCATTTATTGCTCTTCTCATATATTTTAGGAATGTAATATTTAATATTCTTGTTTTGCAATGAGACAATATTCTTTAGACAATATTCTAAAGAATATTGTCTCATTGTCTAAATAAATCTTTAGACAATATTCCCTATTGTAATAGCTGTATACTCAAAATCAAGAAGAACTATGTAAAGCAGTGGTTCTCAACCTGTGGGCCACGGCCCAGCAGTAGCCCATAGGTATGAAAATCTGGTCCACATACCTCCTTCCTCTTTATTTATTTTATTTTATTTCCGCTCCTTTCCATAGAGCTAACCAGCTCCATCCCTTTTGGCACTAATGTTGAAGAGTATTCCCTGGTCAAAATGGGTCCTGGTCAAAGTGGGCCCTGGTTAAAAAAAGGTTGGGAACCACTGATGTAAAGGGTTTTTTCTTATACTGATCATTTTCATAGCTTTTCCCAGTAAACTGGTTGATAGAAACACTTGAAATTCAAAGTAACACATATATGTCTTATACTGCAGTGGTGGCACAAACATTTCTTTTGTTTTACAAAGATTCTTTTGATCTGTTCAGCTGAAATATCTTTTTACTATGTTTTATAGAGCCTATGAAGTTGAAAGACGATTAAAAATTGTCTGTTTAACCCAATTTCCTAACTTTGAAACGGCATGCTGGTATACAGGAAGACACATGCTTGAATCATTCAAAGGTAAATAGAAGAGTGCCTTCTGTTTCCATCTCATTAAAGCCCAAACCATTATATTATGTCCTGTTAATGCTTACTTAAATTCACAGTCATACCTAACAGTTTTGAGTAATGAGGTTTTGGGGTCCAAATGAAACTCAGTGAAGTAACTTTTTAAAAAATATATTCAAATAGTTTTATGAACAATTACAAAGTTTTAGATTCTGTATCCAATAGGATACTAAGGTTCTATGTTGATGTTTACTGATGAATGCTAACATTGATTACTTCATATTGTATTACCAGTGAAAAGTCTGACTGAGCAAGGAGCTTATCCACCCCTTTCTTCCTGCAAGCCAGGGGGAGGACAGTATGGTACATAAAGCTAAAATGTGACTGGGTTTGTAGAAAGTAAAGTCAAGGAAATTTACAAAAGGATCCTATTATTCATGGAAGCTACCTCTGCTCAATATTCTGGAGCTTTCTTATAGGCCATCTCTTCAAGACTATAGGAAAAGATCACGTGGGCAAGCAGATTTCCAATCCCATACTACCAAAGACAAACAATAAGTTTGAAACAGTAATCTCTTGAATGGCAACTTGAGCTTTGGTTTGTCAGAGATTTCAGATGTTTTGCATTTTGTCCCCAAATAAGAAATTCATTATTTAGCCTTAAAAGAAATGTACTGAGCAGAAATGAAAAATTTGACAGTTTTCAAATTTAGTTTCTAAATTCATCCTGCAGATTTATGACCATGCATATTCTCCTTGCAGTCTGTTTATTATATTGTTTGCATATTTGTAGACCTCTCCGTTGTATGTTTAAAAGCTTATTTCTTTTATTATGACTCTACAGGCGTAAAAGTATGTTGGTTTTCACTAAATAGCATTGAATTGTTTTCTATGTTTAGCATTGCACAAAGCTGGAAAGCAGCCTGCTCCTCATTTAGTCCAAGGAGCAAAAATTCTCAATGGCGCTTTCAGGTGTTGGACGAAAAAGCAGGTAAGTCTCTTTCTGAATTATAGATTTTCTAAGGTACTCCATAGGGATGGTATTTGGAGCAACCTTATTGGCAGCAGAAACAATAGTAATAAAAACGAAAATATGAAAAAAGTAGAATAATTTATTTATACCTCACATTTTGTATCATGAACTACATGGCCTCAGAAATAGCAAATATAATATACGTAAGCTGCAGATAAGGTTTTGTGTGGATGGGAGTTCATGTCCAATTCTTGCCAGAGGATAGCTTTAGTGACACATTAACCAAATTAGATTTAATTATAAGGAGCATACTGACCTGCCTAACAACAACAACAACAACAACAATTTATTTATAGATCACCCTGTCTCCCTGAGGGGACTCAGGATGGTTTACACACAATGTCCAAGCAAGTGCAAATACATTAAAGCAATACAGCATAATACAAATAATGACTACAGTGAGCTAATAGCATAAAAGAGTTAAGCAACATCATAATAAAAAGCCAGAAGGTATTAATAAAAATGACTCTGATGCAGAGTTTGAATTGGGGATTTCTTAATGGAAAAAGGGATATGTGGGAAACCATCCAGAACAGTGTGTGTGTGTGTGTGTGGCGGGGGGGGGGGGTACCATGGTTCCTTGCAATAAATAGGAAAGCATGGGGGAAATGTGTTTCCACTGTGAGATGGATCTAACCCATTTCTATTCACAGATCTAGCCCATTTCAACTTCTGTTTGTTAGAACCAGCCCTGCTGTATTTGAGGCTCCTTTAAACTGAAGTACTCAGTAACATTTCGTCACACATGAATTTAACTGTGTAATATTATAATATCTCTTGACACACTTTTAAGCCTTTGTATTTTGCTTTATTGTGTTCAAGGCTTTAGTGGAACATGAAGATGAACTCCCAGAACATTTTAAACCAGCACAACTCATTAAGGACCTTGCCAAAGAAATAAGATTAAGTGAGGTTGGTATTATTCTTTTATTTCTCCACAGACTGTCAAATGTTTTACATCCCTGCATCTAATTGGTGAATTGTTGACACTAATTCAAATCCAAAAGTTCCTTTTCCTCAAAAATATAGATGCAGCTGTGATTATGTAAAAAAAAAAAAAAAAGAGGCCACATGCATTCTTATGAAGATATATATACATTTTTCACTGGTACCATATACTGAATTTGGACCTAATTTGGTGGTTTAAATTTAACAGGGAGAAAGAAGATGTACGCTTTTTGAATACAATAAAAATTCTTTCAAATAGAACTGTGTAGCCTTATGCTACATTATGCTAGTATAATAGTGTTTGCCTCACTGAAACCAGTGGAAATTAATTGTGCCGTCAGTGAGTTGGAATGGTCTTAGACATAAGGGCTGACCTGCAGGATCAGAGCAAGAACTCACTTGCCCCATAGTAGCCAAAAAAGTCAGACATAAGTGAAATACTGAGTTGTTGTAGGTTTTTTGGGCTGTATGGCCATGTTCTAGAAGCATTCTCTCCTGACGTTTCATCTGCATCTGTGGCAGGCATCCTCAGAGGTTGTGAGGTCTGTTGGAAACTCTAAACCCAATTTTCCTAGTCTCCAACAGACCTCAGAACCTCTGAGGATGCCTGCCACAGATGCAGGTGAAACGTCAGGAGACAATACTTCTAGAACATGGCCATTCAGCCCGAAAAACCTACAACAACCCAGTGATTCCAGCCATGAAAGCTTTTGACAATAAGTGAAATACTCATAGTCCATCTGATAGTATAAATAATATACTATGTATCCATATTGAGCAGTAATTGAAAGTGTTAATGGAGTCAACATTGACAGCCATTGCTACGTTTTGTGGAAAAGAATTCAATAGTGTTAATTGGGAACTGTGTGAAGAAGTCCTTGTTTCTGTCTCTGTGCCGGCACACCCAGACACTATAATGTTAAAACTAAGATGTGCTTCTCTCTTTATCCCGGTGAACTGCAAATGCCTTACTTAGAAGCTCAGAATTCCCAGCAATTGAGGCCAGTCCAGATTTGAACATCAAACAGAACATTTATTTTTCGAAGTCCTTGACAGACTTGGCACAGCTTGATGAAGTTACAAACACAAATAGTCAATTTAGGAAACCATATAGATGTTCTTTCCTTTCCCTTTTCTTCAGCTGCTGAGTTAACTTTCCCCTAACGGTAGAAAAAATCCTGGGATCTTTTACCCTAACCCTGAGCTGCTATCTTTTAGAAAGAGCAGGTCTTCCCCTATCCTAGCTCAAGGTTAGTTTGGGGATGAAGTAATTGAGCCTCTCCCAATGGCAGAGAAATCCGGAGATATTCCCTGCCCCAGCGCTGAGCTGCTATTCTTTAGAAAGAGCAGGTCTTTCTCTGTCTGAGCTCAGCACCAGTTTCAAAGGCAAGAGGGTAACCGTACTCACAATGGCCTGTCCGAACTGCCTAGCTTGGCCACCAGCACATCTGAGGCTTTTTCTATAATAAAAAAGGCAGGAGAGCTTCTCCAAAATGGAGATCTCATCCCCAGGAAAAAGGGCAGTCTCTAGATCAAAAGGATACTTTTTAAACCAATAACAGCAAGAGGCTTGCAAGTTGGCTTCCAGTCTCTGTTAATGTTTAACTTTCAGGGTGCTGCTGAGACTGTAGCAACCCTGGGGGAAAATGCAAAGGGATGCTATTTTATGCAACTAAGGGGCAATGCAAACCAAGCTCCTGGAAGACGGAACAGTCTCCTATCACTCAATTTCACTGGCTGACTGTGAACTGTTTCTTTTGAGTGCAGAGAAGTCAGGATTGAGGCCGTGGAAGCATTCTACTTTTTATTGCTAGCATATAAAATATGAATTTTGATGATTATTAAAATAACAGAATAAATAGAAAATACTCCTTTTTAATTAGTCATACACTGTTAATTTTTATTGTACATCTTTTACTGTTTCTTTTTACCTTGGGGAGAAAATGTAATTCTGTTTTATTTCTCCCATGCAAATTAATTTGACTTGCATTCTCTTAAAAGTGATTAGCATTTTTAAACAAAGCACTGCCTTCATCTCTTTCATTTCCTATTGTTGTAGGAAAAAAAAAATGAGAGACTACTCAGATGTTAGAGACTAGAAAAGCAAGAACAAGAGAACAAGCCAGGCAAATAATTCATTGCTGGATTTATAATTATAACTAAGGGATAATAATTTTTCCTAACACAGATTGCATTACTGAATTATGCAAGTGTATGGCTATTATATCTGCACAGTGCTATATAGTTTCTACTTTGCACTGGACCAAATCTTTCTGTTTTGCTTTTGAAATTTGTGGAAATTTCATAGTATGCAAGAAAATAACTACATCCTGCCATGCTGATGCTCACTATCAGAGTGTCTTTAAAATTGATATAGCTGGCTTATCTGGATGGTGTACTTTCTGAATGGCCGGAAAAAAAACCTGCCAGAAATATAATGTTTCTGTTGTTTTGTGTCTTTATGTCTTTTCCAACTTAAGGTGACCCTAAACAAACCTATCAATGTATTTTCTTGACAAGATTTTAGAGTGTTTTTTACATTTGTTTCCTCTGAAGTGGGGAGAGCATGTCCTATCAAAGTTTGTCTAGTTTCCATAGCTGAGCAGGGATTCAAACCCACAGTCATGATCCAAGGCTCAAACCATTACACCACACTAGCTTTCATTTTATAGCACTTGGCTTCTTCTTTTTTTTAAAAAAAAACTGGACAAAACTCCAAAGTAAGTCCATGGAGAGCAGTTATTCTGGAGATCTTCTCCTGTATTTTCCCAAGAAAGCTATTCAGAGTGAATCAACTGAATTTTCAGGTTTAGGAATAAGGCATTGCAAATTCTAAACCTGTCCCTTTGTAGAAGTATAGTTTGTGAACCCAATTTTTAATATTCAGGAACAATACTGTTGATATTCCCCAGATTTATCTCTCTCTACACTACAATTTAGGAATGATATGAGATTATTTAAAATGACATGAGATAGGGAGAATCACTTGCTTCATCAGCATCAAAGCCTGGATCACAATGTGGGTTTCCCCATGTGACCTTGTGCCTTCCTCTGTTTCCTTCTTTTCATCATTAGTGAAACAAAGTGTCTCAAAAGTATGTAGATGTTGTATTGTCGAAGGCTTTCATGGCTGGAATCACTGGGTTGTTGTAGGTTTTTTCGGGCTATATGGCCATGTTCTAGAGACATTCTCTCCTGACGTTTTGTCTGCATCTATGGCAAGCATCCTCAGAGGTAGTGAGGTCTGTTGGAACTAGGAAAAAGGGTTTATATAACTGTGGAATGACCAGGGTGAGACAAAGGACTCTTGTCTGCTGGAGCTAGGTGTGAATGTCTCAACTGACCACCTTGATTAGCATTTGATGGCCTGACAGTGCCTGGGGCAATCTTTTGTTATGAGGTGATTCGATGTCCCAGATTGTTTCCCCTCTGTTGTTTTGCTGTTGTAATATTAGAGTTTTTTTAAAATACTGGTAGCCAGATTTTGTTCATTTTCATGATTTCCTCCTTACTGTTGAAATTGTTCACATGCTTGTGGATTTCAATGGCTTCCTGTGTAGTCTGACATGGTGGTTGTTGGAGTGATCCAGCATTTCTGTGTTCTCAAATGTAGATGTTGATGGAAATTTGGTAAGTCAACATCTATGTAAGTTCCATTGATTCAGTGAATTTCCTCTCCTTAAGAATGGATTCAGAGCATGCTATGCAGGAGTCAAGTACCCATTTTTGAAAGTTGGCACTAAATTGGTGTCCATGTTCTCTTCTCATCTCTAGAATGCGTTGAAAGTCACCAAACCTGAAGTGAGTGCCAGTGTGAATGTTGAAGAGGTCAGCCCAGTGGAGAAAGAAGAAGCACCATTGCCAGCACCAGAGACGCCACCACCACCTCCTCCCCCACCATCACCACCTCCTCCACCACCACCAGTTGAAAAAGCCCCTAAAAAGAAGACTCCAAAAGCAATGAAAGAACCTAAGCCCTCAAAACTGGCCAAACCTCCCAAGCCCCCAAAACCTCCCAAGCCCCCCAAGCCTCCCAAGCCTCCAAAGGTACCAAAAGTGAAGGGTGAAGGGAAGAAAAAAGGCAAAAAAGCAAAAGAAGTTCCTTCTCCACCAGCCATTCCTAACTTGGACCTGCTTGAGGCTCATACAAAAGAAGCCCTAACTAAAATTGAAACACCAAAGAAGGGAAAGGTAAGTAGAGATGTTATAGTTGTTGCGTGTCTTAAAGTAATTTTCAATTCATGCCTAATTAATTGTGAAATCACCTGAGACGTGTGTATTATTGTTGCTGCTACTGTCGTTGGGAGGCTTGCCCTTGTTTACACAGAGTACACAATATTGTAAATACACTTGATGATGATGATGATGATGATGATATGTTCAGTTCTGGTTGGGAAACAGTGTATAGGTTTAGAATCGGGCAAATAAAGTGCCATCAATCCTGTTGACATGGAAAAGTTTTATATATACTTCAGTATGAGAAACCATTCGTAGTAAGCAGGTAGACTAGCCAATTTTCATTATTACCTTGGTCTTGGCAGGTTATTCATAATTCAGGAAAATAATTTTCTGTTTCCTCCAAATTTGACATTTGAATGGTCTATAAATTCCTGATATATCTTAGCTATTATTATTCGGAGAATTCATACTGACCAAATAAGCATGTGGTAATTAACAAAAGGTAAACTGATTATTGTGTGTCTAGTGCAATTCGTGTGTTAGTAATACAGCTGAAAGAGTACTGTTCTATTATCTGGGCAGAGGCCACAAGGGGGTGCTTGAGAGAGAAGGATAGCTCATTTTGTTGGGGGGGGGGGTGAGTTGAAAAAGGAAAACCATTTTCCCCATTTTCACTGGCTATTTCCCCATCCCACTTCTCATGTCACAAATGAGGGTTGTTTCCATGACAAGGACATGGATGGGGGGAACAACAGGAAAACAGGGGGAAATGATTTTCCTCTTACAACCCATCCTCTACCCTGTAAAATGGACTATCCTTCTCTCTCTAGTGCCCCCTTGTGGCCTCTGCCCAGATAATGGAACAGTACCACTAAAAGTACAGTATATTCTGGCGTATAAGACTACTTTTTAACCCAAGAAAATCTTCTCAAAAGTCAGGGGTCGTCTTATATGCGGGTGTAGTCTTATGCATGGGAGTTGTCTTAACTCTATATTTTAACTGGAAAAGTTGGGGGTCGTCTTATACGCCCAGTCGTCTTATATGCCGGAATATACGGTAAGTATATACAAGGGGAAGTGTATTAGTACTATTTATTTCCTTGTTGCTTTCCACACATTGAGAGTAAAGTGGATCATGCAAGGCAGGCATGTAGCCGGGGGGGGGGGGGGGGTTTGGGGAGCCCCCCCCCGAAATTCTCATGGTGGTCTGCGAGAAGGCCTTACTGGTACATTATTTAAACTGTTATGTTTATTCATATCATGATCTGATCACCATGCTCAATATATCCCATATGCATGGGGGTATTGGGGTAATGATACAAAAGGTTTGCTAGGCTAGACCCTCTTTCACTCAGACTCAGCCCCCCCCCGAAACTCAGCCCCCCCCCGAACCCCCCCTGACCGAAACGAAATCCTGGCTACGGGCCTGATGCAAGGCACCATTTGTGAGGGTCCTTCTCACCCACATGAAACCTGCTTTTTCATGGTTTTTAGGAGAGGGAGAATCTTGAAGATTCTTGAAGGCTCTCCCTCAACTAAAACTGTGTCAGAGGCTGTCCTCTTAAATTTATGAGCCCACATTAATGTCCAAATAAACTTCTTCATTTGAGATATGTTAATTTGTTTAATCCTTTGATTTTATTTATTTATTTATTTGAATTAGGCTGCCAAGAATCCTGTGAGTCCCCCTCCTAAAGAACCAGTAGAAAAGCAAAATGAGGTGGAAAAGTTTGAAATTCGTGAACAGAATAAGACCAAAACAGAAGCAAAGTGGAAATATAAGGTATGATAGACTATCTTCCCTTGTTTTTCTACAGATATTTCATTTCATTCCTGAGACGTACAAACTAGGATTGTGTAGAGCATTCTCTCATAAGTAGTTTACATGTCTACATGGGGGAAGGGGTGTGAATTGTTCCCAAATACGTTTTCTTACCTGTCCTTTTGCTGCCTGTTTACTCCTGGTTGCTGTTCCAAACAGCAGCTTCTTTTATAAAAAGGCAGTAAAAACATAGTTGTCTTCTCGATTGTTAAGGTTATATCAGCAAATCAAGCATTACTGCAGAGGTCAATTTATTCTGTGTTTGTTTTTGTGAAGTAAACAGGAAAATGCTATATGTATATGCATATGCAACTGAAAAAGGTGGAAATTGTAACATTTTGTTAGTCACGCTACTTGTCACAAGATAATGAGATTTTACTTTTGGAGAGAATTTTGTAAATTTTTGAGAATATCTTTTGTACATTTGTGAAAAATTCACAAAACTGACAAATATGATAATGGTTACCTTGTTGCACGGACTGGTAATTGTATGGACTGGTAAATGTAGCAGTAACATTGGATGGGCAGTTTGTGTCATTATGAGCTATCCTTTTGTGCTCTCCTCTCCCTTGTGTATGTGTGTGTATGCACCTTGGTTAGCTTCACAAAGGAAAGGGGCATTTGTTTTGCATTAAAACATTTTGCACAACAAAAATGCTTGCTGCCTCATTCCCAGCACTAGGAGTAAGATCTCATGAGGCGGCTGGAAAATGTTTGACTAATAGCCTGAGTAATGATAAGACTTTCATATCTATACTCAATGCTAATTAAGAAAATACACCTCACTACCTCTGAGGATGTTTGCCATAGATGCAGGTGAAACGTCAGGAGAGAATGCCTCTAGACCATGGCCATATAGCCCGAAAAAACCTACAGCAACCCAGTGACTCCGGCCATGAAAGCCTTTGACAATACATTACACTTATTTATCTTATTGCCTTCCTTTCAAGGCAGATTTTATGAGGGCAAGATGTGGTGTTACCTATGTGGGCATTCTGATACACCATCTACCTGAAGCACTACATAAACTCTAATATCTCACAGATAAAATGTAATCCTAAAATATTTTCTGTTTTCCTAATTTTCAGAACAGCAAACCTGATTCATTATTGAAAATGGAGGAGGAACACAAGTTGGAGAAAACACCTTTATCCGGAAACAAAGACAATAAATTTATGTTTTCATTTTCAAACAAGAAACTATTGGGGTAGGTGTATTTTTGATGATTTGCAATGACGACAACAACAACAACAACAACAACAACCTTATTATTATTATTATTATTATTATTATTATTATTATTAATATTAATAATATCCCACCACCATCTCCCAAAAGTGACTTGGGACAGCTGAAACAAAATAAATGAGAGTGGAAACAAAATACAATAAATATGTTGTCCATATAAGAAACCCCTCTATAGGCACATGGACAAGATGTAAGCACAGTAGTACTAGCAATTCGATTTTATTGGTTTTATTGTTTTAATGTAGTTGATGTTTTTAATTTTGCAACCTTGTTTATATTGGGCTTGGTCCCCATGTAAACTGACCCAAATCCCTTCGGGGAGATAGAAGCGGGTTGTAAGAATAAAGTTGTTATTGTTATTTTACTGACACAAAACCACAGTATGTCACAGCAAACGAGATATATATGCTGGATTTCATATCACAAAATCACAAGTCGAACACTTCCCAAGCGTTTAGGACTGTGTGATGTATGTTCGAATTATGCGTGCAGAAAAGGATCTTTTTGCAGTTGATAGATCGTAATTTTGTCAATGGTTATTGATATTGTTATTATTATTATTATTATTATTATTCTCATGAGGCAGTTCACAAAATCCTTTTGTCACACAGTTGAAAGTTCCTGTGAAAATAAAATGCCCAGAAGCTGTTAGTGAAATGAGTGAAAATTGGGATAGCATACAGAAATATATTGACTGCTATTTTGGGCCAAGTCCTGTGTAGTTTAGTTGTGATGACATCTAGTTCTGATTTGTTCTCATTACAGATAATGCATTCAAAGTCATATCCATGTTAATCAGAATATCAGTATGCAAAGGGATCTTGTAGCACCTTTGAGACTGAGAGAAAAAAGTATCTAAGGAAGCAAATTGTCGATGAAATGTTATGCTGCACTTCTTTGTCTCAGTTAGTCTCAAAGGCACTACAAAATCCCCTTGCCTACATGAGTAATATTAAAAATGCCATGCATTGCATCATTTTCTGCATATACATACCTATTGATTATATGTACCTGCTGTTTCTTGTATATGAAAAAAGATAAGATGATGTGATCATTACAAGTGTTGCCCTTTTGACTGCATTTCTGTTGTTTAAATAGTTCAAAGGGAGTGAAAACTCAGTTGAATCCTGGCATATTTGGATCCCTGCAAAATTTCAAAGAAGATAAAACAAAGCCTGTGAAAGATGAATATGAGTACGTTTCAGATGATGGAGAACTAAAGATTGATGAATTTCCAATTAGAAGAAAGAAAAACACCACAAAGAGAGATTTGTCCTGTAAGGCCATTTTTTCTTTTGTTTTATGAAAGCTGTTACCAAAACTAGTAATTTCTCCAGTTGTAGCAAAAGTAGTACATTCGCCAGCACCCTTTGGTGGCCATTCAGAGTTACCCCTTATGGGCCTGTGATCCTTGGATGCTGAAGCAAGAGGATACCATTGAGCTCACTGCTGTTCCCCATATGTAGCAGAAGTGGGTGGGCATACAATGAATCTCTTGTTTTGAAGAAAACCTTGGCAGAGTGAGAAGGATATTTGTTTGATCTCATGTTTGTTTTGTATTTGAATATTTTAGAGAGTAAAATTATGTGATCTATATAAAGGTTTCTTGGCAAAGGATGCATAAGTGTTAAATAGCTAGTACATTGCTAGTAGCAATAATGCTACTAGCAATGTACACATTACCCTCTTTCAATTTCTTTCTAGTTTTATCAGACAAAAAAGAAATTGCACAGTCCACACCAGTGAAGAAGCCAAAGGTAGAATCTGCATTGTACAAGGTATTTTTTTTATCATATTATTATGATATTAGATGGGTTCTTGTATACATCACAAATGCTATATTTGGAGTTCCATGTTGCCCATTGTTTGAGACATAATGTTGTAGTGTTACATCCTTGTGTGTTTAGTCTAGCATACTTACAAGTTTAATCTTTTGTATCATGTTCAGTGTGTCCCAAGCAGAGCTCTGCTAACACAATGGCAATTTCCCCTTCTTCCTTTTCTCTTGTCACCACTTCCCCTTTCTCTAAATCTTCTCCAGTTGACTTTTGATCTGGAAAGGCAATGTGGTAGTCTGTAATCTTGATGGTGAATGAACAGCATTGGTTATAGTATATTGTTTATCACCTATCATCAGTATTTTTATAGGGATTTTATGAAATCATGCTTGAGTTTTATATAGGAGGAAACAAGCTTTAAAAGTCAACTGGACTTCTCAAAAGCCAACTGGTAATGAACCGTGTTCCTTGGTTTGAATCAATGGCAGAGCACACAGCTTTCAGGCAAAAAAGTCCCAAGTTGAGTCTCAATAGGCTGTCAAAAGCCTGGAGAGCCATTGGTTGTTACCATAGACAAAACAGGCCTATTTGAACTAATGCATTAATATGCTGTAAGGCAGTTAGCTTTGTTTCTATATTATCAAAGTACATTCTTAAAATGTATAGGATAGTAAATGAAGAAATTATTGTATCGCACCACAAATCAATTCATTGCTGACTGGCATGGTCACTCTTAAAAGATGTTCTTTTGCTGGCTTCTATAGAGTGATGATTCCTCAGATGAAGATTCCCTCCACATTGACACAGAGGCCAAGCCAGGGCGCAACGCAAAAGGAAAAAAAGAAACTGGAAGCTCAGCAGGCATCCTGGATCTTTTGCAGGCAAGCAAAGAAGTTGGGGGTTTAGAGTATAACACCAATAGGTAAGTATAAAGAGTGTAAGCAGGTTTTTGGGAAGTGTGACAAGCTAATGAATGGTCTTGTCATGTTTGTAGTTGTCTGTCTACTACTGTGGTTCTGGATCTGGGCTTCTGCTATCGTGGTTTCATATATGCATATTAGACATGTATTTCAGTGGCAAACATGCTTTTCTTTCCTATAAATGCTAGCTGTGATTGTTGTTGTTGTTGTCACCTCATGGCTTGCAGGAAAGCAGCTGTAGAATATGTGTGTACAATAATACCATGTAGAATATGTGTAGAACACTCCCTACAAAAATGCTGAATATCTAAGTGTTAACAATAGTGAGGATTATTTATTTTAAAATAGGTGGCTCATTTAAGAGAAAATAAGAACCATTTCATTCATACAGCTAAAAGCCTTTGATTCATTTGCTCGCTCTCCTCGTTATTCAGTTTGTTTAAAGAGGAGATGCTTGAAAAATTCACTCAAAAACCCTAGGAAAGAACATGCTTGTCAAAATTACTTTTTCCAAAGGGCAACACAAATGAAATTGGACTCCCAATAGACTGGTTATTTGCTCATTCGCAACCATCACATTGCTCTTTTGCCATGACATCAACTTTGTCGTACTGTAAGCATGTACAATGAAGTCTGTTCTAAGTAAAAAAGTAAAGTTTGTAACATTTTGCTGAAATAGAATAATTTGAAATAAGGAGGAAAGCCACAAAGCAGTGAATTTCTACATTCTGTAAAGTGAAGGGACAAAGTTTTGGACAAGGAGTCTGCGATGTGCAGGCCTCAAGCTATTCTAGGGCTTGTTCATCAATTTTCCCTGGAATTCTTAGCTGTTTCATACATTAATTTGTTGCATAAGGGGAGTATTTCCCTATCTTTCAGTTCCCTATTGCTGTGGTAATGTATTAAACTAGTAATCACATGGATGGATGCAATTTCTGTGACTGCTTTCCTAGCTAACAAACCTTACTACAAGTTCAATGTACTATATGTACAAACAGATTTAAATTGAAACTGAAGTCTCTCCAAAACACCCTTAGAGATACTTTAGCCAGTGTATCCTCTGACTTGTTGTTTCACAGCATTGATGACTTTGCATTAAATGTCTCAATGCATTCTGTAGGTAGTTTGGCATCAATGTGTCATATCAGTTTTTCCTTTGCAGAAGCAGTTAAGATTCCTGTCATGTGCACTGAAGCATAGAATAGAGCTCTAGATGAATCCGATTTTCAGATCTCCTTTCTCTTCTCAACTTTCTTGGGCCTTCTTTAAACAAAATTAAATTGCATGGTTTTTGTTCTCCATCATTCCCTGCTTATGAAAACAATGCTGGGTAAGGCCAAAGGGGTTCCATTTTCTCATTCCCAAGCAATTGTAGAGACATGTCTCTGTATTCATTTCACCAGTCCTCTCTTTAATTTGTATTTTCTCTGTAACTTTCAGTTTCCTTCTCTCTTCTTCCCTTCCCCTTCTTCCCCTTCCTTCCCTTCCTATCCCTTCTCTTCTTTCTGATTTTCCTCACCAACCCTGTCTGACAAAATCTGACCTGGACAAGAGACCTTCATTGCACTGTTTCGGCTACAGAACTAGACTGGCAGTTGAATCTTCCTTTGGGTGCATTTACACTTTAGAATTAATGCAGTTTGACACCACTTTAACTGCCATAGCTCATTGCTATGAGATCCTGGAATGTGTAGTTTGGTGAGGAACTGGGATTCTTTTTCAGAGATTGTTAAAGACCTTGTGAAACTATAACCCTCACGATTTCATATCAAGTTAAAGGTGTCCAATGGCATTGATTCTGTAGTGTAGATGTACCCTGTGACATTGTTGATATAATAGCATCCTTAGCTGTGGGCATCATGGTCATTTAATGGGTACATAGAAGACTGCCTGGAATGTGGAGCTTTGCTTTGCAAGAGAAAGCAGAAAGCAGAGCCACTCCCCACCCCCTATCATTCTGGCAGGACCATGAACTATTCTTCATAGAATTATTTATCCTTACAAGTGTACTTCTGGAATCTTTTGTGTCACTAGCACTTTAGTCTGTTGATGAGGCATCGCTTGATGGAACTTTTCTGCATTGCACAATTCTACCATATTGTTGCTGAGGCTCCATCTGATTTGCTAAGAAAACAATTTCCAAGGACCCTTTCTTTCTGACTCACACTTGAACTTCATAGATTTCAGTGTTTACAAAGAGAAGGGTTTCAAAAGTGATATGTATTTCATCCACAGTGGTAGATAACAGCTCTATAATTAGAGCAGCCTTTCCTGTGCTGCGTACAATCTGGGTCCCAATATTTCAGCCCAGAAATCTGATGCAATCACACATGTCAAGACCCAGAGCAGTCAGCAACACACACGGCACCGATGGAGTTAAAGTAAGGTGTTTAATGTCCATTAACAAAACAAAAGGAGACTCTTCAGTTCAGAGTGATAAACAAAGGAGGCTTGCAGTCAGCAGAAATGTAAACAAACTGGTCTCAGTCAGCCACGGCTGACAAAAGGAAAGTCAGTTCAAAACAGAAGCAGGCAGCTTAAATTCAGCAGGGAAACTTTAGTCCGAATTGAAGGCAAACAGAACAGCAAACAGCAGTTCGCATGAAGAGCGGTCCAACGAAGTTTCCAGGATAAAGCAGAGGCGTAGTCAGGCAATCCGAAGGTCAAAACAGGGAAGACTCACGAGTCTGGAACCAGCAGGGTTGTTCACACGTTCAGGAAACACGAAGCTGTAACAAGAACTCAGGGCAGGAGTTACACACAAGGCACACGGCATGCGACACCTTGAACTCTGCGATTAGACTGTCCCCAAACTGCTGCTTAAATCTCATCCGAGTCACTGGAACTGCCGTCAGCTGGGTCCAATTCCTCAGGTGAATCCACACCACGCCATTGCTGCCAGTCAGCACTTCGAGTTCCATCCTGCAAAGAGTTATCTCCAACCCAGTTATTATCAAAACCCTGGAATTCATCACTAGACGTGGGAGCGTTAATTACATCCATTACTTCCTGGACTTTAGTCCAGTCCAGCTCTTCCTCTTCGCTGTCAAACTCCCCACAGTCTGCAACATCTCTCAGGCGTTTAGCAACAGATCCCACATCACTGTTTGAGCTGCTGGCTACTCTCTTTACACCTCTGTAATCTTCCAGCTCCATTTCCTCGCGAGTAAAACCCACAAAATCCTCCTCATCTGTCGTCTCTAGAAACAAGTCTCTTATCCTTTTCAGCTGCTGCTGAGCTTCATCATTCTCTAACCTACGTTTCCTTCTACTACTAGTAGTAGGTGCATGAGACAGACGCTGAGTCTCAACACACATGGGCACTCCGTTGGATTTATGGCATTGAACTGATTAGATGAACTCCTGCCATCTTGTGTGTACATACAAATATAGGTATTATAAAACTTAAAAATAATCTGAAATCCAAAACTCTTCTGATTTCAAACAAGGGATGCTCAATCTGTAATTATAATGACAACATCATCAAGCAGAAAGATCACCCTTTGTTGAGAATTCAAGGTGCTGTCACTGAGAAGATTTCTTCACCATATATTTGGAAACTAATAAGGCATAAGAATCAGAGCTCCTTGGCCAAACTTCAACTTTGGGCTCATCAGAATTTGGAATGTAATGTAAACACTTTCAGTTGGGCGTAGTAGCAAACTGGACTCTCTTAACAGAGGCTCTGTGGAAAGTGTACTGTAATTGCCCAAACAGGACATTATGAGAGCATGAGCAAATGTCACCCAGTGTTCTGGAGCTTCCAGTGCTGGCAAACCAACTGTAGCTATGCATATGCACTCCTGAACATTGATGCAACCCTGACACTTTCATATCAAGGTGGCCTCCCCAAATTATTTGCCTGCTTCATATGGTATTTCTATGGAAGCATCTACCTTAAAGGTCCTTTTACACTTATGCTATAATCCATTTTGGAATGGATTAAACAGAACAGTACAGGAATGGGTTCGAGAATGGAAAATGGCCACAGTATCTCCTAATTGCAGATCAGAACCAAACCTGGAATTACAGTATCCATGATGAAACAGCTGTCAGAAAATTTGCCCCCCTCCCTTTACCAGTCTGCTGAGATGAACTAATGCACATATAAATGTTCATTAGGACCATGACAGGGCACAGAAAATGAGAACAAAAGGTTAGAACTCTATACCGTTTCCTTGGGAATTATGTGGTTCCCTCTCCCGGGGGAGTACGTATGTCCTTGTCTGATGGTGCTTGTCCTCTGGCTATCCATGTTTTGGCCGTGCATGATATATACTGTGGTCAGTTCTAGCGCATTATCTGGCTTATTCCTGATTTTGGGTGAGCTTTTTTAATGCACTGTTTCTGGCTGGAGATGCACTGCAGGTCACATTGTGTTTTTTGTGGCCACAGTGCCTTTGAGCTAGTTTTGACTTGCATTATATGGTCAGTGTGGATGCATTCTTATATTATCCACTTGGTATCAAGATTTAATTTGCCAGGATTACAAAAGTGCATTGATCAGATTATGAAGTAAATAAATATTCCTGAATGGTTATGGATGAATTTATTTAATAGTATCATAAAAATAATTATTTCCTTTGAACTTATAATAAGTTCTCATAAAATCAATTTAGAAGTGATTCTTGACATCTGGGAGATTCAGTAAAATCTTTCTGGACATTTTCCAAATTTGAGAGATTTCTTTGCCAATTTAATGATAGTTATTGAGTAAACTTAATTTCTAGAGTCTTCTCTACATCAGCAGACCCTCTTCCCCATAATTTTCTGAATCTGTGTTTTGCATAGGAAGGATTTTTTTAAAACCCATTCATTTTCCAATATTTTTGCTTACTATTCTTTGTTTGATCATAACAGAATCTTTGCAAAATATTGGAAATCTGTTACTGTCCATTAACCAAACTTTTGAGATAGCAAAAATACAAATAATAGATTTTAACTACATGAGAAACGGAATACAGGATGAGTATCTCTTAACTGGAATTCCAAAATACTCCAA